CTGACCCTCCAGCCTGGCCCCCAGCCTGGGGAAGGGTTTAAGCCAAACACGCCGTGCTGCTGTCGATGCGGAGGAGCCCTCAGCCACAGAGTATCGAGGGGTTGCTCTCCTGGGCATTTATCGCGCTGCTTTTTCAACTTGCAGAAACCTTTGCCACCCACAACACGCTGCAGACTCTTCCCCGAGGGTCTGAGGACAGCTCTGGTTGTGGACGGTGGGTCCCACCCCTGAGCAAGGCTCCGCCAAGCAGCTCGTGGGTGGAGATTGAAGCTCCCACCACCACTTCCATACTGGAAGAAACAGAATTACTGGTCTCCAGGGTCTTTAGCTGGGGGTTGTAATTTCATTATACATCAGAGGATGCATAGATATGTCTTTGTGGGTTATAAAGATGTGTGCCAAGGGGTCTGAGCCTGGAAAGGCTGGGAGAACCCACTGGGTGACATTTTAAAATTTTTATAGTTCCCAGTATGGTGCCTCCCAGGGGCACGTTGATCTTATTTGTTACAGCGCTGGGTGCGCAGTCCGTAACAAACACGGGCAGAAAATGCGAGAACAGTTCTGAAATGTTTAAATTGCTTTAAAATGTCCTTCCAAGGGCAGGCAGTTCATACAGTGCCTGCACCTCTGGGTCAGCTGGAAGAGAGCAGCTCCTTCTGAAACGGTATCGCCCCATCAGCTTGAGTGGGAAGAAATCAATGTTCTGCGTCTAAACGAGCCAGTCTGAGGAGGCGTCATGCCGCAGAGCCTTATGGAAACTCCAGCATACTAATTAGTGCCTGCTAATTCAGGAATGACACTTATTTCAAGAAATCTGCTGTTGTAGCCTAGCCCAGAGCAAAATGCTCCAGGTGAAACAAAGAAAAACCTACGGAGGAAAGCACTTCATCCTGGATGGCTGGTCCGGGCAGGACACGACCCTTGTGGTTCACAGTCACTCTGGTGCCCATGGGTCCCCTGAACCCTGCAGCAGAGCAGAACCCCATCCAGACCCATGCCCAGACCCTGGACCCTCTTCCCCCACTCTGCAGCTCCAGCCTTGGGTCTTTCCAGGTTCTGGTCTCCTCCCGTTCACCAGTTAGCCCAGCCGAATGTTTGTCCCCGAATCCCACCCGTGCACCCCCGTAGGCAGACAGTGAGGTCACTCAGAAAAGAGCCAGAAGAGAGTTTAATGAGCAGACGGAACAGGCTGCAGGGATCAGGTACGGGGCCTGGGGAGTGCATTGACCAGCAGCTCGTTTACGCTCCATCAGCCCTTTTGCCAGCCCCCCCTCCATTTCCCATGCCGGTCCCTTCCCAATCCACCTGGATTTCTCCTTTCCCTCACTTTGGTTCCTTCTCCTAAACATCCCATAACACATTTTGCACAAGCCCCTTAAATCATCCCATATGAAGTTTTCCTCAAGCCCCATGGAATATCCAGCATGAACCCTGCCTCTCTCCCAGGCAACCCAGGATAACTTTCTTTCTTCCTTCTCAGTAGTTCTGCTCGAACCCCTCTCCTCCTGGCTCCTCCGGCAGCCCCCCATCACCAACCGGAAGGCTGTGGTCTACGTTATTCTCTCTCTTACCTCCTGGGGTTTGGGTATGTAGGTGTGTTTTGTTATTTTTCCTGTCTTTTGCCTCAGTTTATACGTTGAAGAGCCATTAACCAGATACCCTTAGTTCTTTACATTGCGGGTATCTATGCATCCTTTACCCTCCATGTACCTTTTACCTTCCTTAGAATCATAGAATCGCAGAATCATGAAGGTTGGAAAAAGACCTCAAGGATCATCAACCATCACCCCAACCCCACCCAACCCACTAACCCATGTCCCCAAGCACCACATCCACACGTTTCCTGACCCCCTCCAGGGATGGTGACTCCCCCACGTCCCTGGCCAGCCTGTTCCAATGCCTGGTCACTCTTGCAGTGAAGAAATTTTTTCTAATCTCCAGCCTAAACCTCCCCTTTTAGCCTTACTTGCCACATATCCTTACACCAGCAGAAGTGTTTGGTGTGTTCCGCTCTGCTGGCTGGTCTTCTTGTCGTTTGAACCTTGCACAAGACCGGTGGCAGTGCCCAACGCTTTGGCTTTCCTGGCAAGCGGCAGCCCTGGGCTCGCGGTCCCCTCACTGGTAGAGAATCCTCAGCACCCGTCTGCGGATGGGTTTGGTTTTCACGCTGTAAACGATTGGATTCAGGATGGGAGGGGCAAGGAAATGCAGGTTGGCTGTGAAAGCGTAAGCCTGGGGGGAGACGTGTTTGCCGAACCGGTGCAGCATGGAGAGGCAGATCATGGGGATGAAGAAGATGAGGATGGCACAGATGTGCGAGATGCAGGTGTTGAGGGCTCTGAGATGCTCCCGCCAGGTTGCGATGTTCAGGATGGTCTTAAGGATGAGCAGGTAGCACAGGAGGACAAAGAGCAGGTCCAAACCCAGCGTGGAGAGCAGCACGAAGAGGCCATAGGTGCTGTTAATCCTCGTGTCCGAGCCGGCGTGTTTGATGATGTCAGGATGCAGGCAGTAGGGATGGGAGAGCTTGGAGCCCCTGGTGAAGCACAGCCGGGTCAGCAGCAGTGGGAGAGGGACCTGGACAAGGGCGGTCCTCACGACGAAGGCCACGCAGATCTTGGTGGTCCCTGAGTTGGTGAGGATGGAGGAGTATCGCAGGGGGTGGCAGATGGCCACGTAGCTATCGAAGGCCATCGCCAGGATGACAGCAGACTCGATATCCGTGAAGGTGTGGATGAAGAACATCTGGGCAAGGCAGGTGCCAAAGCCGATCTCCCCGGCCTTCAGCCACAGCATCCGCAGCATGGTTGGGAAGGTGGAGGTGGACAAGCCGAGGTCAGCCACAGCCAGCATAGTGAGGAGGAGATACATGGGTGCGTGGAGGCTCTGCTCTGCCCTGATGATGGAAAGGATGGTCACGTTCCCCAGCAGCGCCAGGAGGTAGGTAGAGCAGAGAGGAAGAGCAGACCACACCTGAGCGGTTCCCCAGGCTGGAAAGCCACCCAAAAGGAATGACAGGGTCCTGGTTTGGCTGCTATTGGTCCTGGCTGGGATGCTCCATCTCATCCCTGGATAGATGCCCTGGAACGAAAGCCAGCAGGGTCACAAACACACAGAGGCAGTAAGGAATGGGGATGGTCTGAGAGCATAGGGTCTGAAATGTCGGATCAGGGGCATCAGCAGCAAAGGATCAGAGGCATCAGCAGCAAAGCTGAGCTACAGCAAAGCTTTCCAGGAGCTGTGCTGAGCCAGTCTGGGGGTACTCACCCCCCGCTGCATGCACACCCCGGCACAGAAACTGCGCACAGACAGAAGTCATGTGTGTGCTGCATGGTCCTAGCTTTGGCTGCTGGAACAGCAGGGGAAGGAATAATTAAAAAAAAAAAAAATTGTCTGTGAGTGCTTGTGTAAATGCAAATCCAGAGAGGGAAGTGACTGTGCAATTAGAGAGGGCTGTGGTGAGCTCGGGTCTTGAATTCTGTGGTTTTGCTGGGAATCTCCAGTGAAAGGAGAGGAGCTGATGGGGGATCAGATACCGGTCTGCCTGTGGAAAACCAGCAGCTGTTTTAGGAATGGAGACCCGCAGAGCCTGGAGCTTCTGAACCAGCAGAACACAGGCCATCTGCAAACACACGGAGGGAAAAAGATCTACAAGTAGTGATTATTCACAAAGCCATGTGTGTAAATTGCACACGGATAAACGTAAGCTGGAAATTACCGGGACGTGGTGTCAAAGCAGGATGTCTCTGGACATCCACTGGAAATACAGGGAGGAGAAATGGAAGTTTTCTTTCTGTAGCCTCACGCTGCCTGATGCTGCCAGGAAGGATGGGGACAGGACCCAGAAACTGAGATATCTGGAGTCCTGTCCCCACGGTTCCTGTAGGCTTCGCTGCACGTCTGACTGTGGTCCCTGTGTCTGTCTTTGAAGGACCGTCTGCCACAGGTTGCCCACCAGTAAGTTTAGAAAAGTATTTGGAACAACTTAAATAACCACAAACCCATTACCTCCCTTCCCTGTCCCGGTGTCTGGGTTTCTGCAGCAGCCCTGGCGAAATGCAGAGACAGAGCAAGGTCCTTGGACCGAGCTGGGCTTGCACAGAACTGCACACTTGGATGCGTGGGAGGTTTTTTTCTAGACCTCAAGAGAAGCTTGTCGAAGATCATCCCCCACATTGCACGGAGGGGAAGGAGGAGGGGTTACAGGATGAAGTTATCTGCAGGACCCGTTACAGCAGATGTAATTCCCAGTCCGGTCTCCACCCTGAGGGTGCAGGAGCTGCCAGAGGTGGGTTTTAATTACCCTGAATTTCTGGGGTGCCCTCTCTCTCCCCCCAGAGCTCTGACAGTGCTTTACACGCCCTGTGCTGGGTGGATGCTGCATGAAGAACTGGGGAAATTCCTTCTCTCATTTTTTAAGCAACAAACCAGCACCCCGCAGCGTGCACGGAGCAAGGCAGTATCGCAGAGTGTGAGCTGGGAGCGGGCTGGCAGGATGCGAGACCCCCCCCAAATTTGGGATCAGGTCCCTACCGAGCTCCTGCATGTCACAGCCTGTCCAGAAGGGCACAAAGGGGTGAATCCCTTGGGTTGTTTTCTGAGTGATGACTCGTTTTACCTCCTACAGTTTCAGGTACTCCCAAAAATGACCAATTGCACAGCTGCACTCCAGGATCTCCCCGAGACCCCGTGTCCTGGGTGTGGAAAAGGGGCTGCACCCCCTCTGGCATAAAGAGCGGATCTCTGGATGGATGCAGGGCTGCCTCATGTCCTTTGCAAGCGGGGAAACACGAGAGCTGGGGGGCTCTGAGAGCTGGGGGGCTCTGAGAGGTGTCCCAGCCCCCTGGGAAGGGGACCGAGCACAGGTCCTTGCAGCAGCCCCCAGCTCGGCCGCAGGAGGGTGGCAGGGGTGTCTGCAGGTGCAAGGCAAGCATCCTGGACCCTGGCCATCTGCAACCAAGGAGCAAAAAGCCCACTCACCTGCCTCCCTCCGACTGCCCCGAGCTCCCCACCAGCTCCTCTGCAGGGCAGCAGCTTGTCCCTGACCCCCAGGGCTCACAGCAGGAGGATTTATAGACCTCCCCCCCCCAGCAATCCCCCCAGGGACAGGGCTGGGAGCAGGCTGGCTCCCTCTCTCAGAGCTCAGAGCAGATGCATTAACCCCCACAGCACCAGGGCTGCTCTGCACCCTGCCACCGGTCCCCGCTGATGGCAGCAGGGGTGCACCCTGGAGACCCCCACCCAGACGCTCTCCTCCTCCTGGCATTCCCCTCCCCAGGCAGGGTTTGGGGCAGAGGAGCTTCTGCGCTGTGGCAGGGTGATGGAGATGAGTCTCAAAGGCTGTTCCCAGCAAAACACCAGTTCTGGGGATGCGGGAGGAGACCCTGGAGCAGGTCTGTGGTCCCTGGAGCAGGTCTGTGGTCTCTGGAGCAGACCAGAAATATGTGTCCTGGTGTCCTGTCCCCAAGAGTGGCCTTAGGCAGACGCCAAGAGAAGAATGTGAGAACAGGGCAAGCTGCTTAGTAATTCCTCAAGGACCTTCCCAGCCCTCTGCAGTTTTTGGTCCAGGGGATTCCTGGGCCAGAACTGGTCCATATACACACAACAGACCAAGAAGGAATTTTTTATTCCACTAAAGTTTTGTTTGAATTTGAATGTTGGTAACTGCAACACACAAGGAGATCTGGAGCCACCACTTCATGCCTGTCCTGAGCACGCTTCTTTGGAGGGCTCCTGATTCCTGTATTGGAACAGACAGTGTGCGCTTGATCCCTGCCACCCATCTGGGAGCCCTTCGGAGGTGGCTTGTGCTGCCACAGACCACAGCAGTGTCCATGGTGTGACGGCTGCCTTCCTGTCCCCAACATCAGGTTGTACGTCCTGGTTCTCTGGGATGTGCTGAGGTCGCCTTCCAGGAACATCTTCCTCAAGCTGTTTGGTCCCCGTGGGGCTCACATCTGCATGGTCCCACATCTGCACAGTCCCACGTCTGCACAGTCCCACGTCTGCACAATCCCACATCTGCACAGTCCCACATCTGCATGGTGCCACATCTGCATGGTCCCATATCTGCATGGTCCCAGATCCCCATGGTCCCACATCTGCATGGTTCAGCATCTGCATGGTTCCACATCTGCATGGTCCCACATGTCCATCTCTGCCCTCTTCCACCCTCCAACTTTCTTCTTCTTCACCCACTCTTTCAGGACCAACACCTGCCCCCCTGACCATGTCCTGCTGGCCAGCCTGGAGCCCCCAGACCATAAGCCTGACCGGGTATGGGCTGAAGACCAAGGTGACGTGGCCATGGGCGTTTGTCTCGCTCTGTCAGAAGCAGCACCACTGCTCTGGCAGCTGAGGCCAGACGAGCCTGGACCCAGCATCCTCCCCCTGGCTGTCCCCAGAGTGCTCCCCTGAGCATCCCCGCTCCCTCCAGCTGCCCTGGGTCACTCCCAGCTCCTTTCAGCAACTCATCTTGCTTTCAGCCCTCCCATTGGGGTGCTTTGGGGTGCAGAGCATGGGGAGCATCGAGGGTGGAACCACTCCAGAGGGAAAGGGCTGACGGAGGGAAATGGGATTCGAGAGAGTGCTGTGAGATGATCCTCAGGGACCAGGGCACAAGCACACGCCTGGGTGACACACTGAGTTCGGCTGGACCAGGAGAGATGCTCCGGGACATCCACCTCCATCCCCATCAGCTCTTTGGGGGTTTTCCCTGCACAGAGCTCCTGCTGAGCCCTCACCGTGTGACGGCAGGCACTCTTGCAGCGTTGCAGTTATATTATAAATCAGAAGGTCGGCAGCATGTCTGGGTGGGATTTAAATCTCTCAGCGCTCAGAAAGGTTCCTGTGAGAGGCAGAAGGTTCGTGGGGGTCTCCCTAAACCTTGGAATGGATTTTCCCACAGCACTTGGTGCACTGGTGGATGAAACATTTTGAAAACAATAATAAAATCAACACCCCGGGAGGATTTCATCCGACCAGAGGAAATGATGAGAACAAAATGCTTTAACGGCCATTGTTGGTGAGGGGGAGGAATGGAGTATTTAGTGCTGAACGTTGTAGCTCAGAGAGGATGGAGACGGTCAGATTGCTGTATCTGAAGTTCATTTATTACTGTGTTCTTTCAGTCTTCCCCCACAGGTAAAACACCAATGAAGAAATACGGTGCGCAGGGATCCGGCAAATGCGTTTTTATTGCAAGGAGGAATTGCGTTAGGGAAATGTCGACTTAAAGACCTGTACCACCTGCGTTTGTGCAGTCGTTGTGGTGGAGCTTTGTCACCGCAGCCATCGCAAAGCCCCGGCTGAGCGCAGGGACCGGCCAGGCTGGAGGCGGCAGCC